TCTTGATCTATAGCCACCTCCAGAGTGGTACATTCCTGTTGGGGCCTCAGGCCAAGTGGCAGAGCCATGTGTTCAGGTCCTTATGGAAGGTCCGGAGGGTGGGTACAGATCTCCCCTTGGCAGATATGATGTTCTAAAGGTCAGGAGCCACGGCAGAAAAGGCTCTTCTCCTAGACACCTGGACTTCAATTTGATGAAAAAGCTATTGTTATTCCTTCAACCTGCACTCTAAGTATTACACTGTATTCTTTGGAATTCCAGTTCAGAATTACTCAGCTAATCAGAGAACGAAAGATCTGCCAAAATAAATAGTAAATATTTATAAATATTAGAGTGACCTTGAACTGCAAGATAGGCAACAAATAAATTTGATCATAATAGAAAGAAATAAAATCATGTGCTGTATTTAGAGAGATAAATATTACTAGAAAATAAACTCCATTAGTGAAGTTTAGAAATACTTTGTGGCAGTTTGTTTTATGATAGAATTCTTTTCTTTCAGATTTTACCACATTAGCTCCCTCAAGTCCTGTGAGTGTGATCCCTGCATTGAGAACAACAATGGTGATCAAGAGTAAGTTGATCAAAAATAATGATAAGTTTTAGATTACTTGCTCCATATGAATCATTGAGTTTAGTTCTATTTACATTAGTAACATGATCTCAGAGTGAAAATAGAGGACTACATTAATTAGGAACAAAGCAATCAAAAAGAAGGGTGAAAGGGAAGGAAATTCAATGGCAGATAGCAACAAATAATCACATTGAAATGTTGCTGAAATAATCATATGAATGATTGAGGCTATGTATTCTAGAGAAGAGAGCCATTTGGTTAAGGCATCAGGCTAGAAACCAGAAGACTACGAGTTCTAGTCCTGCATTAGGAACAAAGCCTTGAGCCAGTTGCTTTTTGTCAGCCCTAGGAAGAAGGCAATGGCAAACCACTTCCCAAGAACCTTTCCAAGAAAACTGCAGGGATTTGTCTAGGAAAAAACATCTTAGAGGAGTAGATGGGAAAATGAATGGTTGGGTTGGCTGAGTAAATGATAAAGAGGATGGTTTTGAACAAAAGGTTTTACATATTACTTTGAATCCACAGGTGGAAACTCAGCTCATAATCATAGAATCTGTAGCACTTGGGGCAATTTCCACTTCAAGACCTTTGATGGAGATATCTATCAGTTTCCTGGACTCTGCAATTATGTCTTTGCATCCCACTGCAAATCCTCTTATGAAGACTTCAATATACAAATAAGACGCTTGGTGTTTGAGAATGTTACTGTTATCAGCCATGTGGTTTTGAAACTTGACGGAGTAGCTGTTGAACTGACTTCAAGTTCCATTACTGTCAATGGAGAGCCGTAAGTTTCATTATTTAGACAAATGTATTTTTTGTTATTTCACCACCATAAATTCCAGTCACACCAGGACAAGGAGAAAGAATGTCATGTCATATATTGTTCTTATTTCAGTTTGACATTTGTAAATGAGATGTTTCTTGTAAGTGAATTTCAGTCACTTTCAATTGCAACTTGCTTTACTTCCAGGGTTCAGCTGCCTTACAGCCACTTAGGAATTCTGATGGAGAGAATCTCGGGTTATCTCAAGGTCCAAGGGAAAATGGGAGTGACCCTGCTGTGGAATCAAGAGGATGCCCTTTTGGTAAGAACCCATTCCAAATATAGCAAGGAATTCCCATTATGATTTTGGAAATTACTTGTGGATCTTTGCTTACACATTATCTGTCTGTCTGTCTGTCTGTCTGTCTGTCTGTCTGTCTGTCTGTCTGTCTGTCTGTCTGTCTGTCTATCATCTATCTATCTATCTATCTATCTATCTATCTATCATCTATCTGTCTGTCTGTCTGTCTGTCTGTCTGTCTGTCTGTCTGTCTGTCTGTCTGTCTGTCTGTCTATCTATCTATCTATCTATCTATCTATCTATCTATCTATCTATCTATCTATCTATCTATCTATCTATCTATCATCTAGCTAGCTACCTAGCTAGATGATAGATAGAACAATGACAGACCATCTCAAAGAATTGTCTAATTTAGTAGTTGCCCCCACAAACAGTTGTATCTTCCCAAATGTTTCTCATCAAGTATTGATTTTTGCAACTGTTTTTGATACTCTTTGATTTGCATGAATCTAAATCTAGACCAATATAATGTGTATGGATTACTTCTTTATTCAATCTTACTTACATGTCTGTTCTTGAAAATATCTTTATTTGCACAAATTAGAAAATGAAACTATAACTGCGAGGCTAGGACTATCAGATCTAAGTTTCAAATATCTGGATGATCACTAGATGGAAACAAAAACCTAAGAATTTACTACATCTCACCTTTAACAATTAAGCACTTAAATTAAAGCTATCTTTTGATGAAGTTTAAAAGAATACTAATTACTGTGGCAGTGTCGCCACAGTAATTTGTTGTGGTAGTCTTTACTTTTTATTTCTTTCAGAATTAAAGAATAATCTATTAACTCAAGGGGCTCTGTAACCAATTTACTGGTTTTGCTGTCACCCCCCCCCCCCAACCTTTTCCTAATTTGGAAACAAGCTTATTTTTCTCCTCTATCTTTTTTTTTTTAATGGACATTGTGGTTATATGACTAGAATGGAATCTGGAGCACATACAGATGAGCTCGGCAACATCATTAATGTTTAAACAAAGAATCAAATGAATTTTTATTCCCAATGTTGAGCCTCAGAACCTTTCTCCTCTAGGGAGGAGGAAACACTAGCAAATGCCATTGTTCTCATGATGATTCGAAAGGTCCCCTTCTTCAAATCACATAATTCAGAGAAGGAGCCTTCCAATCCAAACCACCCCAGGAATGGGCTCTGCAGGAAAGATGGAATGAGACGGAAGAAAGGCCTAGATGCAGGATGGAGCATCAGAACAGGCGTGGTGGGGCAGAGAGAGCTTTTCACGAATGAAGGCAAATATACATGTCCCAGGATAATGTTGCAGGATCCAATCTGGATCAATCACTGGGACTAGAGGTTTTATCCTCTGAGCTTTCAGACTTGTGCTAGAGCCCATCTTCAGGGAACTCCTCTCTAGCAGAGTGGATACTGTTCTGTGTGTGGTATTTATAGTGCATGTTGTAAGTGGCTTTTTAGACATTCATTGGGGTGTATTGATGGCTGGCTTTTAAGTCATTAGCTTCGTTTGCTTGCGCTACCCAAGTGCTTGATAGGCTGGCGGTAAATCAACACTTTTGTTGACCAATGAGGGATCTGTTTCTTCAATCACTTCCCTGGGTTGGTTTTCAGAGGGTTTTCAGATGCAGTCACTTAATGACATGCATGGTTGCTTAACGACCACAACAGGGAGATCTTGGATTGCAGCAGTAGAGCAAGATGGTCAGGTGGGTGCCTTACGTAATGACTGCAATGATTTATGACCAAACGTTTGGATTCAGCTGCGGTTGTAAGTTGAGGACTAGCTTTAGCCTCACTTCATTTATGTCTTATCTTCTTCTTGTTGGATCTTCACTTGTCTCACTTAATATGGTATCTGACAATATTCAGACATGTTGCTAAATTTAGTTTAGGCCTCAGTGAATGAGGCACAGCAAAACTGGAGGCTGTCCTTTCTCTTCTCTTTTGGGATGACTTCAAGGAAAAGTTTGGAAATATTTATTTGATTTTAAATGGATCCAGTAACTATCTGGGGGGGGGGTCCTCCTGGACTCAAGATTCCTGCATGAGAGGAAGGTGGCAGTCATTGCAAGGAGGCCTTTGCTCAGTTATGTATTATATACCAGTTGCATCCCTTCCCCAATTGAGAAGCCCTTAGTTCTGTCACTCATACCCTGGTCATCTCCCGTATGGACTACTGCAATGTGTTGTACATGGGGCTGCAGCTGCTGAAGAATATGGCAGCATGTGCAGTTTTGGGTGTCCTTAAGAGTTGCATATGTAACACCTCTGTCATGTGAGCTCATTGGGTGCCAGTTTGCTTGTGAGTCCAATTCAAGGTGTTGGTTATCGTCTTTAAAGTCCTTCAGAGCATGGGACTAGATTCCCTGACGAACCATCTTGTCTCAATTATTTTGATCCAGCCCATGTGGTTAGTAGAGGAAATATATTGTGGTACCTGTTGATTAAAGAATTTTAACTGATGGGGACTATGAATATACTTTGGCGTTGGCCCTGACCTATGGAACATCTTGCCCCCAGAGGTGAAGTGGGACCTCACCCTTTCAACTTTCCAGAAGGGCATCAAAACCTGCTTTGTCAATTGGCATGGGGGTTCAAGAGTGACATGTAACCATGGGATCGGTCGCGTCTGAGGGCTCTCCCTCCATCGTTTTTTACCTTTTTACCTTTGTTTTAATTTTGTTTTTTAAACTTTGCTTTTAACTATGTCTCTTTTTATGTGGCTGTATGGATTTTTATTTGTAAACCACCCAGAGTTACTCAGGTGAGAGGGGCAGTGTATAAATTTGATAAAGAAATTGTGGAAGCTTAATGTTAACCAGATTGCAAATGGCTTATGAAGTAGACTTGCTAAAATAAGTCACAGTTAATATTAAATACCATCTATTACTCAAATACCATGATAATCTGTGATTAAGAGACATCAGTACAAAACCTTTCTATCTTCAGTTTTGAGTGTATCATAGGAAAAGGGAGGAATGGTCTGTTTATTTTGTGCTACACTGCAACTTAACATGACAGCCAAAAGCAACTATTGGATTTAATGGGAATTCAAAAATAAGAAAGGAAACAGAATTCCACTATCAGACCTTAAACACTAATCCAAATAAACTTCATTTTAATCTCTACACGTGTTCATCTCTAGACCTGTTTACCAACGTTATACATAATCTGTTGTCAGTTCTTAACTTTCATTCTTAAAACTCTAGACCTTCACTACAGTTACATTTTTTGTCTTGTTTTAGCTGGAACTACATGAAAAGTATGCTAATCAAACTTGTGGTCTTTGTGGGGATTTCAATCAAATCGCAACCTACAATGAATTCATTTCCAACAGTAAGTGGCAAAAAAATAGCAGAGTTCTGTTTTTATTGCTTTTGAGGTCACCTCTCATTTGTAGAACAGGATTTATTTTGACAAATGCTACTGAAAGATTATTGCTTCAGCAGCCTTAAAGTATGTAATTGTATAATGTTATACAAGGATCAAGATTGTTGGAATAGCCACTTCCAAATAGGAAATGATCCTAGGTTTGTTTCTTTATTATTTGCTTTTTCAGAACTAATGTAGAAATGACATGCATCTTTTAAACCTGGATTTCTGTTTTTCATTTCATCCTGGAAAGAGGGCTGCCAAGTTTAATGTGGTCAGAGATATGCCAGGAAGGGAAAATAATGGGCCTCTCTTGCAAGGAGCTACAGCTCAGATTAAGCTGTGTTTCTCAATCTCGATGTGTGAATTCCATGCTGGTGTAGAATTCTGGGAATTGGAGTCCACACGTTTTAAAGTCACGGAGGTTGAGAAACATTGAGCTAAATGCAAGGACTGGTTGCAAAGTTACTTTTTCGTCACAATCATAACAGTCACTAAATTTGTGAATTTTGCAGGTTTGTAAAGCAAAAGAAAGCTGAAATAAGATCATAGTCACTGTCCAGGTTTCACTTAGCTTAATGATTGAGTCCTAATTGTAGCTACTAAACAAGGACAACCTGTAATGACAACTTGGAAGAGAGTGAATGCAGGGGCATAACTTTCTTTGAAGTAAATTCAAGAGGCCTCATTGGTAGGGGGGGGCAGTCTATGAAGAGGCTGGCTTCTAAAAACAAGTCAAGATAGCAATCAAAAGGGTAAGACTCTGGGCATGTGGTTACTGCTACCGTCTTGACTTTTAATCCCTGAAACGTCATAGCTCAGTGGCACATGATATCCAAAACTGAGAGGACTTTAACTCTTCATAATGGGAAGATGAGATCGGTGTAATTAACCTCATCATCTTGCCAGGAATCATCAGCAGAGTGATGATATTTCTTGGACCCTTTTGTCAGATTTATTCCATACAGAAGGAATATAGTAAAGTTGCAGCCTGTGTCCCGACAGGTCTTTTTTGTATTCCTGCTTTGAGAGCAATGTTTTGCTTATTGCAGATGTCCAGCTGACTCCTTTGCAGTTTGGAAACATGCAGAAGATGGACGGACCTACAGAACAATGCCAAGATCCTATCTCTTCCCCTAAAGGCCAATGCAGCCAGGAGTTTGTAAGGATTTGAATTTCATTTTATTCTTTATAAGGGAATTTGGGTGTTTTTTGCCCTCTTCTTTTTCTTTCCTCTTTCTTAAAACAGTAAAATCTTGGGGGGGGGGGGAGCTTGTAAACATTAGCAATGCAGATCAATAATAGTGTAGTAGCTTCCTGTATTTATATACTGTTTTTCATGGCGTCATGTTTACATCTTAGCAGCGTTAATTTCTTCTTTCTAGACCACTCTTTGCCAAAAAATACTGACTGGTAATGCATTTGACGCTTGCAATGCATTAGTTGATGTGCATGACTACATTGATGCTTGCGTACAAGACTTATGCCAATGTGATCAGTCTATGGCTGAAGTCTGCATCTGTAACACTTTTGCTGAGTACTCCAGGCAATGCTCCCATGCTGGTGGACACCCACTTGAATGGAGAACAGAAGATTTCTGTCGTAAGTATTAATTTAAAAAAAAAATTGCATTCCTATGGAGAACTCTTTGCAATCAGTGTATAGAATCCTAAATAAGGCAGTTAGAGACCTCAAAATAGGCCATCAAGATCAATACTATGCCTATGAAGAGAAATCCATATCCAATTCAAAGAGATGCAACCTACAACATTCAAATATTGCTGAAGCAACTTCATCTGATTAGGCTAACCAATAGGATGCTGGGAGTTTAGTGAAAGTTATCAAGAACTCTGCACATCTCCAACCAGAATTTAGCTCAGTTTTGAACTGTTCTTATCAGTAAGAAGCTGGTGCTAATGTTTAATTTACTTTTTTTAATAACCCATTAGATTCAGTTCAGTCTTTAAGGTTTGTTTAAAAAAACCAAGTCTTTGCTCAGTGTTATATATCTAAAAAAGCATTATCACATGTTTCCCCTTGCCTGTCTCCACACCATGTCTTCAGCTTCTTAATATTTGCCTCCCAGAAATTGTTCCCCTTAAGGACTAAAATATATTGCTAACATTCTGTTTAAGGTATTTTTACCTCCGGAGGGGGTAAAAAAGTATAAATAGGTTTTTTAATGTCTCATTGTTCATTTCTATTTTCAGCCAAGTCTTGTCCTTTCAACATGCAGCATCAAGAATGTGGATCCCCCTGTTTCGACTCTTGTACCAATTCTGAACAGTCCCAATTGTGTGAAGATCATTGTATAGATGGCTGTTTCTGTCCCCCCGGTAAGTCAGTATCCATGCTTAATTGGTTATAGACTTGCAGTTGCCTGGCTGAAGCATCTCTTGGTATTATTCTTTGTTATAGAAGTGGCTACATGGAATTTCATTCCAGATAGCATGAAAAGGAAAACAAGTTTGCAATAAAGTGTTTGCTCTTCTCTGACGTGTAAAAAGCTTAATACTTCAGTGCTCTTGCAGTAAGGACTGTTTAAAGGATAAAAATAAACACCTATTTTGTCTTCCCTAGGAGTAGTTCGCTATAATCTGATTGTATTGTATTGTATTGGGGGCATTATAAAAGGCATTTTTTGGAAAAAGAAAAGGAAAGACTTTAAATTGTTTGAATTTTAAGCAGTTATTGATTTATTTATACATCTGAAGAGAAAACAACTTTTATGCTGGATGTTTTGTACTTTAATTTTAATTCTGTTTCTTGATCTACAATTGTATTGAGATGTACAAATAAAATAGAATAGATTTGTTTGATTTAACAAATCAAGGAGATTGGTTGAGCGCTAGAATGGAATTAAATTTGCTCAAGAACAACTTTAAGAAGATCAGTTGTAAGAATTACACAGAAATGTTGTTGATGTTATTCAAAATGTCTTTTCTTGCTGGAATTTACTACATGGCAGTGTGAAAATCTGGTGCACCCTCATAAAAATATTTTTACCTTGTACTTTTGTCCTGATGCTGGCTTTCATGAACATGGTAGAGATCTGTTTCTTTAAAAGCTTTTTCATAAACTACATTCATAGCAATTAATATGCTGTTTTATTTATTAAATTTCTGTTCTGCGTTTTCACTAAGAAAACAATCCCACATAACTTGAAAAAGCTATTAAAATCAGACCCACTTGCAACTAGCCATACTTACACATCCCATATCAAGTGTCTGGCAGCTCTTCTGACACTCAACTCCATGAGCATTAGCTGTGGTATTGTCACAATCAAAGTAGATCATAGGAGCGTCACAAACTGGTAGGAAGAAGAAAAAAATGATTCAGTTTGAGATTATATCTCGGTAATTACACAATTTATATTATGACAAACATTAGGTTTTATGGATACAACTAACATGGGACCCCATGTTAAAAGAATCACAATCTTGTTTTGTTTAGGTTTCTTAGTTTTGAATCATATTTCCCAAAGTTGGAAAATGCCTCTTAATAATCATAAAATTAATGTAATTGATAAGGTTTTCATTTTGCTTGTGAAGCATACAAATTAAATCCACATGAATATTCATGCTTCAGTTTTAAAAACAGTGGTTGGATTATGGGCCAAAATTCCATGTGATACTGGTGATAGGAATGGAAGAAGGGAGCATTTTCATCAGAACTACAGCATCTGTAAATCTGATGCTCTAGAGGAAAAGCTCCCATAGAAAGCTTTATAAAGAGTGGATTTTTATTGGGATCATGACTTCTTTTTCCACACACCATTGTTTCCAGTGAAAACTGGTTGATTCATGGTTGCTGTAAAATCACAACATGCTTCCGTGTGATCTGAAGTCCTACTCCAGATGTTGAAACGGTTCATGTGCTTTCGTGTATTTGAGGAAAATATAACACATTATATGAATGACAAGTGTCATGGAGAATGATATAATGCGAATGATATCCATGCTTCTTAAAAATAGTGAAATGAATATGAATAACATACATTGGTTATTTCTTATTTTAGGCACTGTGTTTGATGACATTAACAATTCTGGCTGCATCCCCATTTCGGATTGTTATTGTTCTTACAATGGGGTTTCTTATGCTCCTGGTACTTCTTTTTCCTCCCAGTGCATTTCATGGTGAGAATGATGATTCCCTTTAATTTAATAATGTTTTATTAGTGATGGGAGGGGGAATAAAGAAATAGGCATGTTATTTGATAGGTTAACTTGTTAAGAATATACTGGGCATAATTAGTCATGCTAAGAATGTCATAAGACTGTGAAATAATGTTTAACTACACACATAAGGGGATTTCTTTTTTGAGCATGATTTCCTTGTTGCTTTGCATGCTGTTGCTTCTGAACCCACCTACAAATTCTTGCCATGTGGATGCACAAAAATAGCTCTTATTTACAAAAGACCACAGAGTTGAAAGATATACAAATATTTTTTTAAAAAAAATGTGATTCATTTTTCTTCAAAAATTAAAAGCTTTGCAAATTATAGGTATCTATAAATCTATAGGTACATTTTGATTGTAAAAGGGTTCATTATGAAATTTAGTTATTTAATTAATTTAGGCATTACTCATCTCCAGCTGACTCCGGTTGGCTCACATATTGCCATATCAATTCAGTCTATACCAAATTGGATGTGATCCAATCACTATATAGAGGCAGAAACAAAATTAATAAGAATGCACCCCAGGAACTCTCTCTATCTTCACCAAAGGTCTGGGAGAACAATCAAACTTCTTGTTAGAAATGTCATAATTCTATTTGACTTTCATGTCAGCAAGCAAATACTACCAAATTTTGAAACCTGAGTGTCTTAAAAAGCTCATCATGTATTGTGTAAAAAGGCAAATAACTGAAAATCCACTCTGCTTTTCTCTTTGGCTGCTCTTCATTTGACATGCATTTAGTTAACTGCATTCACTGTTAGTGACCATAAAACCTAGTATTACCTTCTATGATCTGAGGAACATTTCTGAAGATGTTCATCAGCCAGAAGCGCAGCAAACCTCAGTTGAATGCATTTTTCATTTTTTTCTCCATTCTTACATTAGTTTTCCCCAAATCTGTTTTGCCAAAATGGAGATCCTCCAGAGAGGTTTTGAAGAGGAAAACCACAAGGAGGAGGAACATGAAAAAATCCTATTGCATGAAATTGTTTATATGACATTGATTATAGTTCTGAATATAGCCTATAACACTCTGCAAAATGCTGTCATGCTATGGCAGAAGTACACAATGTGTGGGAGTAGATAGTCTCTGTTTTCAGAGAAGACTATTTATAACCACATATTTTAAAGTTTAAAAAACCCTGCCATCTGCCATTGCATTTCACCAATCTTGCTTTCAGATGCTATGTGCCACCGTGTTCCATTTATCAAATGCCGATAAATTATTATTATTATCAGCAATCAAATACTGAAGAAAAAGCTTCTATAAATTATAGCAAACATCCAGAGAATGTTCTAAAATTTACAACTGGAGCATATTTGTCATCCAAATTCATGATGTAGAATTTGGATAAGGATTGAGGAAAACAGGTTATTCTAAGAATACAAGCCTAATTTGCATGACCAATATGCTTCTTAAAAGAGCTTTAATTAGAAAACTCCAAATGCATTAATTTCTTTACTAAATGAAACAGGGCTTTTAAAGTACCCTCTGTTGTATACAAATACAACAGAGTTATAGGAATTATACTGTTATGTTCATTAATACCATGAGTCTTTTAAAACATTAAATAACAGTGCAGTAAAATCCTCAGCAAACATTCCATGTGGAACGCCACTAAAAATTTGTCAACAAAGGTCGTGCTTCACTGAAAACATGAGTATATGTATAGTACAACAACCAATTCTTATTTATTATAAGGATTACTCTACTTTTTATATAATAATTTGTTGGTAATTTCTTCCTCTTTTTACTTCAGTTCTTGCACTGGGGGACAGTGGACTTGCGTCAGTCTTTCATGCCCTGGAGTATGTTCTATTGAAGGTGGCTCCCATGTCTCCACTTTTGATGAGAAATACTATTCCTTTTTTGGGGACTGTAGCTATATGATCACTAAGGTAAGCTGCATGGACTAACCTACCCAAGGCTACCTGATTAGATTGATGGGCCTTGGAGAAACTTCCTATTCTTTAACATCAACATTGTAGTTTAAAGTTCCTGTTAAAGGCATGTATACCAATTCTAAAGAAGAGACCCAAACCATCGGTCCTGTCCACAGGATTAAGTTGTGATAATACAGTCTCCAACTATGTGGGATTGTCACACTGAAAACAAGGACCCTCCCATGCAGTGGTGTAACTGGGAGAGGTTCAGCCTTTCTACCAATCTATGTATTATCATCATGTCATATATTTTTATTCATATCAATTGAAATAAGGCTCCCTTCTTCTTGATTACACTTGAAATTGTTGCTCAAGATAATTGAACCTTCCTCATCAAAGGTTTACAAAAAATATGATTATTTTTCCAATTTTCTGGTGTTTAGGGGGTAGGTAGATACATGTCTAATGACTGCACTCTTTTTTTGTTTGTTAAATTGTGGTGTCTTGTTCAAATAAGAGAAAAAAACATAAATCACAACTTTTAAAGTATTTTATTCTTTTAATTGTGGGAAGTAAATCCTGACCTACAAAAAAAAGAGTAAAGTGATTTTATTCTTATTATTTTAAAAGTCAGGCAGCATGATGGCTCAGCTGTTAAGACATTGGGCTTATTGGCTGGAAAGCTGACAGCCCATGTACAAGACTCCGAGCTCCATGTGATAGGGTGAGCTCCCGTCCTCGCTCCAGCTCCTGTCAACCTAGCAGATTGAAAGCATGCAAATGCGAGTCAATAAATAGGTACAAATTCAGTGGGAAGGTAACAGTGCCCTATGATGTCATGCTGGCTACCTGATTGCAGAACTGTCTTTGGACAACACTGGCTTGATGGCCTTGACATGGAGATAAGCACCACCCCCTATAGTCAGCAACGACTAGCAGAGTAAAATCCGCAGGGATTCCTTTACCATTTTTTTAAAAAAAAATTAAAAGTCTCATTAGTTTAAAAGGGATGCCATAAGTTCAGGCAATTCAAACTATTAGTACTCTTTTTTTCCAGCTCTGTGATAGCAATAACTTCGCTGTTCTGGGAGAAATTCAAAAGTGTGGCCTGACAGAATCTGAGACATGCCTGAAAGGATTAGCTCTAAGTATTGATGGAGGACAGACAGTAAGTATGAAGAACAAGAATTTATGAGAAGCATGCTCAATAATTTTAGGAATATTTTTTTTCACCAGATGCAGGGAGAAACAGGTTCAGTTTGCATGCAAAAACAGTTCTCAGTTGAGCTCCTGATACTAATGTTAAAGTTATACTAGAAATGTGCAGTAAAATGTTGACTTTCCAATTACAAACAGCACATTTCATTTTCTTTACACAATGTTCTGTCCATTGTTTCTTTGTAGAGAGATCCAGGTTCTGGAATGTTTCTGTTCACTTTTCACCATCTATCCTGGCTCCAAAGTTTTATTTCCTTCAAACGTTTTGTCTTGCATATTAATTCCTCCACTTCACTTTCCTATTCCTTTTTTCCTTTCTTCTACTTTCCTTCCTGTTATTTTTCCTTTCCTCACATTTTAGTTCTTACTCCCTAGTAGTTTAAATTACCTTCCTGCTGGGGCCTGGCTCTTGGCCCTCACTTTCTTTATTTCTTTTTATACCTGTCTTCAAATTTGTCTCACAAAATTCCTCCATAGCATAGAAATGCTCTGGACCCAAGTCTCTGAAAAATCTCAGAAAAATATTTATCCCATTCCACTTAAAACTTGTTTCAAATACTTCATTAGTTTTATTTGTGATCAATCAGTTATTGTCAGAACCTTCATTCTAATAAATGAAATACAATATAAATTCTATGTATAGATAGCTTGTGTTAAAAAAATTGGTTAAACAAAATAACAAATGTGTATTTCCTAAAAAAAAGATAATGAAAAGCAGTATAACTGAAAGAAATGAGTTTGGGAGGGGGAATGCTAAAATGTAGTGCCATATGCTCCTTTGAGTCATTGTGTGTGATTTGGACATATCAATTTGCTTAATAAATAAATATTGCAGTAAAGACATTCTTTCTCATTGTGTTTGCTCTAACCTCTCATTTCTCACTACCCAGGTGTTTGTGGTCAAGTCTAATGGAGCTGTGTATGTGAATATGATTCTCACTCAGCTGCCTATCTCAGCATGTAAGTTCTTTGCTATTTATATTCTAGCATTTTACACAACTTAAGGACTGATCTTTTGTTTCAGGAATTTATTTGAAATTCAAAGTGTCTAGGTCAGGTGTGTCAAACTCGCAACGTCACGTGACATGTCACAGCGTATCGCAACTTTTTTGCCATTGCCAGCAATGGGGTGGGTGCAGTTTTGCGATGACGCATCCGGCCTGTGGGCCGGCAGTTTGACACCCATGGTCTAGGTAGATGAGTAAAATAATATCTCATCACTTGACAATGATGGAAGAAAGGACTGAATATTGTTAAAAGTCCAGTTTAGAACAGGAAAAGATTGATATTAATATATTATCAAAAAGGCTCTTCTGGGGATTTTAGATGTAATCTCAGACCTTTCCTTTGAAGTAGGTACTAGTTTATTGATCACAAGTAATTGCTAATCCTGTTAATAAGAAATATTAATCCTAAATTATTAGTTTATATTAGTATCAGTAAGTGATTGAGATGCAACATCTAAGCCTTTATCAGTATCACTTACTGAGATGCAAAACCCAAGTGTATATGTGCTGCACTAACAACCACAGTTGCAAGACTCATCCCTTGGTGGCAATTGAAATGTATGCTTCCATCTGAAAACTACTTTGTTGTATGGTTTTGTTTCTACAGCCAATGTCACCATCTTCCGCCCTACCTCATTCTTCACTGTGATAGACGCAAAATTTGGATTCCAGGTGGTGATACAATTTATCCCTATAATGCAGGTGTTTATATACATGGATCCAAGCCACAAAGAGCAGACATGTGGTAAGTAAATCAATGAATCATTCTCACTACACAGAAGAAGGATGTTACAATGATAGTGTGCAAAGGATTAATGTATTTCCTTTTTGTTTCAGGCCTCTGTGGAAATTTCAATGGTATCCAATCAGATGACTTTAAAGCTATCAGTGGGGTGACAGAAGGAACCTCTGCTGCCTTTGTTAACACCTGGAAAACACAGGCAGATTGCCCCAATGTCAAAAACATATTTGAAAACCCCTGTACTCTCAGTATAGAAAATGGTACGTACATTTGTTTGCTGCTCTTTTCCTAGGCACTCTTCTCTGGCCTATTCCTCTCTTGTTGATGTTGATACTGTGCTTTTCCAGAATTGACAGTAAGCATGGCTGTCCTAGAAACATCTTTAAAAAGAGGTTCTTTTAAAAAAATAGAAACACATGTAGCATTGGATTTAAAAAAATGTAGACATCCAGAAGGATTCTGAAATATTTAACTTTTCTGGGGTTAAAGTTGCTTGGGTCTAGAGTTATCAGGACATAAAGTTCCTCTTCACAATGGACAATAATAAGGATTATCATTATTATTCTACATTTATATCCTGCTTTTCCTCCAAGGAATTGGAACAACATTTATAATTATTTTCCCTCATTTTCTTCACAAAATAATCTAGTAAAGCATATTAGACAGATTTGGAGCTACTGTGGACTTTCCTTCTACAATGTTTTCCCCAAAACAAATAAAAATAGTGACATGTATAGTCACAAGAAAACATGTCAGCAAACAAAGAAAAATCTATATGTAATGTACTGTACCCAAAGGCAACAGGACCATTATTACACAGCTGAGAGAATGCATCTCTTTTGCCTGGTTTAAATTAGACTTTAGTGCAGCACAAGACTGTCTTTTGAGATAGCACTAAGCATTTAGGGATAATCTCATGTTCAGAAGCATGCCCAGTGCCAGAATGTGATGACAAAATGGCAAGTGTGTTTGTGCACATCCATGTTGGTGCTCATGCTGTGGGTGGAAAACTTAGTAAAAAGGAATAGGGCTTTGATTACTCTGTTGTGTTTGTCAGTTTGATATAGTTTATCTTTGTTGCAGACATATATGTACAGTATACAGAGGATCTATAGCAAAAAAAGGTACCAAAATGATAGCCCATTTATCTCTGTTTTACAGAAAAATATGCTGTACACTGGTGCGGATTGCTGACTGACACCAAGGGGCCCTTTCAGAAATGCCACTCAATAGTAAACCCAGATGTTTACCATAAAGTGAGTAGTTTTTTGTCTTCCACTGAAATGCTAAGATGAAGCTAAAGATAATTCATGGGAAGAAATGCATTGCCAAATTCAGAGAAGCCAGATTTTAATTGGTCTTTTGCTGAGCTTTCTATGTTTTTTTTTCACTAGCTACATTTTATAATCCAACCAATATACACATTTCTCACTTTATATAGCACACCAGGACCTACTCAATAGTTTACAGTCAAATGTTAGTATGAAATATATCATTTCCATTCTGGTGCTGGGTCTTAATTGGAGATGTCAAATAATTTTTAAGCTGTTCTAAATATTTTGCATTTCCTGGACTATTATGTGAATCAAAACATTATTATCCTTTAGATTATGTATTTCAGATCTTGCAATATAGTTTATGGTTTAAATTTGCACGTGCACATAGATATTCAGGAAAGTTGCATACGAGCTATATACATTAGGAAAACTCAATTAAAATATATACTGTACATTAGAAAAATGCACATTCTAAGTTAAGATGTGAACAAAATGCATTTGTTAAGGCAAATTGTATAAAACAGTCTATGGAATTTTTTTTGTAATGTTTAAGAAAAAATGCAGAAAATGCAGAAGGAATTGTAATGAGTTGGATTTAGATGGAGCCATTCATTTCCAGTGTAAACTCAAAGTTTACTTTACTGATTTATAGCACTTGAAGTATATAGCTATTAACTTTGCAGGATGCTATAATTCATGAAAATACCTTGCTTCCTGAAAGCTAATAAACTGTTACAGATTTGTACACTGAAAGAACCCAACTGACTAGCATATGACAGACAACTTAGATAAAAGCAGAAAGAAGGAAGGCTTCCAGTGCAATCTCTTCAAAGTTCCTCATGATTTTTGCAAGGCCAGGCTAAAGCAAGATTACAGAAGTGATGGCTCTTCAGGTATTATTGCCTACTCCTTCTAGTAGCCCCATAGCAAGAGAGGCTGGCTGATATCTGAAGGATCCAAGGATTGCACCATGAATATAAAGGGAAATATCTCTGAAGGAAGGTGACGTTTGGTTAAACTGAAGTTCCTCTGTTTTTCTAGAACTGCATGTATGACACCTGTAACTGTGAAAAGAGTGAGAATTGTATGTGTGCTGCCCTCTCAGCCTATGTCAGAGCCTGTGCTGGTAAAGGAGTATTGATCAGTGCATGGAGGACTACTGTCTGTGGTAAGTTTAGAATAACAAAAAAGAGAACCAGCCTGGAATTAAGGAGAAATTTCCTGTCAGAACAATTAACCATTAACCATTAACCAGGCTTTCCTTCAAAAGTTATGAGTGTTTCATCACTGGAGGTTTTTAAGGAGAGATTGGACAGCCATTTGTCTGATATGGTACAGGATCTCCTACTTCAGCGGGGGGGGGGGGGAATAGAAGACCTCCAAGGTCCCTTCCAACTCTTATTCTGCCTGTCCCTACTTGCTTTTAGCTCAATTAAAATGCTGCTGAAGGGTCCCGGACCATTGGAAGCTATCATATTTTTCAGAGAAGAGGAAAAATATATATGCTATCAAATTAGTAGCTTTAAAAAGTAACTCCAAAATTAGCTTGGAATCAGGCACATGCTTCAATAAAAACTTTTTTTGTATTTATTTTAAAATACATACTGTGTGTGCAAAATTCTCATGCCTCATATCTTGTGGGTAGAGTCGATTTAATACTAGCCACCTCTTCTGATTACTGAACTGTTGAGAGAAAAATCTTCATCAGGGTCCAGTCCAATCTGGGAATAAACAAAATGGAGACTGCTCCAAAAAGAAGGTTGCGGTTTATTAAAGAGCAAAGCCAGACAGCAATGTGACTCTGAGAAAATTGACCACATGTATCTGGGAGTGGTGGGTTTTTATACCTTCTTGGGCTTTTGAGGGTATTTCCTGTTCCTGTTTGAGGCTTTGTATTTCCTGTGTCATGTACTTTGACCTGAGTCTGAGTGTGCTCTTTTGGTATTGGTGGGTTAATCCTATATTGTTTCCTGCCCTTAGAGTTTGGGTGGGGGTATGTAGATTTTAGGGATCTTTGTCTTCTTAATCTCATCAGCTTCTAGCTTCCTGGCTCCAACCTTTCTGAAAGGATTATCTCATCTGCATTTCTAAAAGCTGGCCTCTGCCTAGTTTCTGCTTGGGGGAGAGGGGCTGGGGCTGGTTTCTATCTTTTTTTAAAGATCTTCTCCATTATTCCTTTGGGGAAAGATATTCTGCCTTTTTTAATATTCCCCCAAATATTTCTTTCTCTGGATTCTTCCCACGGAACTTTTATTGGACTCCTATTGCTTTTCAACAGCTGAATTTTTCTCTCTCCTTCCAAGACTATTAGCAGTTCACATGTCCTCCAGCCTTTTGCCTTCATTATGCTGCCCTCAGGTTCTTTAGGTTTAATAGGTTGATACCCAGTATTTTAATTGTGCCAGTGGCTAATCAGAAGCCAGTAAAGTTCGTTCAACAATGAGATTATATGGCAATGGCTACCTTCACCAACCAGAAACTTCTCTTTTATGAGCTTTATTTTGGGGAGTTGCAGAGATTTGGAGATCTTCCCCCCTCTTTCTCAGAAAGAGAGAGAGAGACAGAGACAGAAAGAGCCATTGCAACCTATTGTATATATTAATTTCTAGTCATAATCGCTACATGAATCCTGCCTGTAAATCAATTCTTTTTCTTTTTTCTCTTCTCAAGCCAAATTCCAAATTTGTCCTGAAACCTGGACTTATCATTACAATATTGAAACATGTCAAGCCACCTGCCGAGCCCTCAGTGAGGTTGATGTCACTTGCAAAATCACATTCCCTCCAGTGGATGGATGCACCTGTGAAGAAGGGACATATCTGGATGACAGTAACAAATGTGTGCCTGCCTCTAAGTGCCCTTGTTACCACAAAGGAACTGCCATTCCATCTGGAGACGTGGTCCATGAAAATGGCATCATATGGTGAGAGACTTGAAATAAACGTAGTGGTGGGAAATAGCAGAAAGCCATGAATCAAAATGAAACAAAATTATAGGAGGGAGGAAGCTTATTCAACCTTACTTGTGAAGTGACAGTTCAGGGCCACAAATGCCATAGAACAAATAAAACTTCAAATCTGGTGTAGTGCTATTATTTTTACTTGTTACACTGAATGGAGTTAAAAATGGAATGGACGTACCTATTGATCAATGTTGTAATATCTTGTAGTATTTCCATTTTTTTTCACATTTCCATCTGTAAATATTTTGGGCATTAAAAGATACTTCTAAATGGTCAAATCTGTCTGATCTGAAAACCCAAGCCTTTTGAGAGACAGAAGAACAAAAATTTATTATTTTTGAAAATAGGACAGGAAAACTGAAATAGAACTGAATTTAATCGGTAAAGGGATCACTTTTTTATTGCTTGGTTTAGCTAGGTCAAAGGTAAAGTGGTAAAAGTGGGGGAAGCTGGCATTTGTGTGGATTTGTGCCCACCCATTTCTGATAAAAATGCTTCACATATCCATAGGAAAGGATCCTATAATAAATGTAATAAATCAGAACTGTAAGCTTATTGCACTTATGGCAATATAATAAGCTGTCTTACTCTCTTACAGTACCTGTGTACAAGGCAAGCTTCAGTGCATTGGGGAAGTGAAACCACAAACAGGTACAACCACCATTTTATTCCCTGTTTTATTATGATGGTTTTCCAACCTTGTTCAGATCCAGCAAGGGAAATCTATGCCTAAGGCAAGCATAGTATTTAAGTGCAGTACTTTATGAACAATTTTGCTATTTAATTTGTCATAGTAACACCCCCATCTGGCAATGAGACCATTAAATGGCAGGATTTGTAGAAACTGAACATCTGATTGGTTAATCTAGAAAGAAACATGGAATTAGATCTCCCACAAGAGGAGAATTCCTTGAGCAAAGTTGTCATCTCAAGATACTCTGGCAACCAAGAGATATGCAACTGATTTTTTCCTCCGCGACACGCTGAGTTTTGATATAGGATGTCCTTGACTCTCCAAACCAGAATTGGGGGACTGAGGAGGTTGTAAAAGAAGGAGAGCAGCCACTGAAGGTTCACAATCCAACCACTGTTTTTAAAACTGAAGCATGTGGATTTAATTTGTATACTTCACAAGCAGATTGAAAACTTTATCAATTACATTAATTTTATGATTATTAAGAGGCATTTTCCAACTTTGGGAAATATGATTCAAAACTAAGAAACCTAAACAAAACAAGATTGTGATTCTTCTAACATGGGGTCCCATGTTAGTTGTATCCATAAAATCTAATGTTTGTCATGATATAAATTGTGTAATTACCGAGATATAATCTCAAACTGAATCATTTTTTTTTCTTCCTACCAGTTTGTGACGCTCCTATGATCTACTTTGATTGTGACAATACCACAGCTAATGCTCATGGAGTTGAGTGTCAGAAGAGCTGCCATACACTTGATATGGGATGTGTAAGTATGGCTAGTTGCAAGTGGGTCTGATTTTAATAGCTTTTTCAAGTTACGTGGGATTGTTTTCTTAGTGAAAATGCAGAACAGAAATTTAATAAATAAAACAGCATATTAATAACTGAAATTATCATCAGTTGAGTTAAATATATGAAGCTGTCTGCCAGCAGGTAATTGACTGTAGTGAAAATGGTCTTTCTGTCTCCGAAACTGCCAGCACAACTTGGCACACTATTCTCCTATCACTTTAGGGAGATATTGCCAAATAGAAATCAGTCTGATAGGTCACAAGAGATGATGGTTAATGAAGTACCTAAACATCTTCTCAGATTTTTCTGGGAGAGAGGAGAACTAACTTTTATGATACAGTAAACCTGCTTAACAAGCATGGCTTAGTCATGATTCTGCCTACTTTGATATTTGATTCTATTAAAGGTTATTAAACATATGCCAAGTCACTGTCCAGAGATGCATAAAAATAAAATTCAGGGAGCCCTCTTCATATAAAAATTCCTGGAGGAAAGGGAACTTGAAACACCAGTGTGCACATTTAAAAAGTAGGAAGAACTGGTGCTAATTTGACATCACTTTTCCTTTGTACGATATCTTAGAAATGTTACTTCTTGTCCTACAGTTTTGTCAGATAACACTTTTTGTTATTCCTCTATTATTGCAGTATAGCGCACAGTGTGTCTCTGGTTGTGTGTGTCCTGATCAGCTAGTGTCTCATGGTGCAGGCAAATGTATACCTGCAGAAGACTGTCCATGTGTTCACAATGAAGCCACATACAAACCAGGAGAAACTATCAAAGATAAATGTAATACTTGGTATGTATGAATTGATGGCTGATATAAAACTGATTGCATCTATATTGCATTAATGTGCACCTATTAACATCTAGTATGTGTTTGGCTACATAGCACATGCAAGAACCGAAAGTGGATATGCTCTAATAAACCTTGTCTGGAAACTTGCTCAGTTTATGGTGATGGTCATTATATCACCTTTGACGGCAAACGATACAGCTTCAATGGAGAGTGTGAATACACACTGATCCAGGTATTAAACTTTTTCTCAAGTTTCTACTATCATAAAGTTCTATTTTTTTCAGCCTTGAGTGTTTGTGTTCATAAAAACTTAATGCCACATTTTTTTTCTGCAGAATCAGTGTAGTAAAAATAAGACCAATGTAGAAGCTTTCCGGGTGATCACAGAGAATATCCCCTGTGGTTCTACAGGGACTACCTGCTCAAAAGCCATTAAGGTGTTCACTGGGGTAAGTAACTTAGCAGAAGGTAAAAACATTATGACACCTGTAGTATGAACAAAACATGCAGTATGGACAAAACAACAAAACATGTAATATGAAATCTTTATATAATAAGTGGAAATCTTGAAATGGTTTATGGTATTTGCAAATAGTGTATTTATATTTGCAAAAATATCCACCAGCCAATGCAGAACTTGCCAATAATGGAAATCTCCAGCTGAAATTATTAGAAGTAGTGGCATTGATAGGTGGTTTGTGTGGTGTGGGTGGTTTCTGTGTGGGGGTGTGTCTTTGATAAATGTTGATTCCTGGTGACTGCCTGAAAAAAATCCTGCAGTTTTCTTGGCAAAGTTTTTAGGAAGTAGTTTGCCCTTCCCTATTTCCTAGGGATGAGAGAAATTGATTGGCCCAAGGTCACCCAACTGTCTTCATACATAGTATGGGACTAGAACTCATGATCATCTGGTTTCTAGTCTGGTGCCTTAATAACTACACCAAATTGGCTGTCCATTTATAGATATAGGTACAAATATTTATGTTGCTTGTATTTTATCTTTTAGAGGTATGAGTTAGTACTTACAGATGGAAAATTTGAGGTGATACAGAGACTTACTGGTGGAGGTGAAGTGCCATTCAAGATCCGATACATGGGCAACTACATGGTGATTGAAATTTTTAACGGAGGAGTGATCGTGATATGGGATAAGAAAACCACTGTGTTCATTAAACTCAGCACAGACTTTAAGGTGAGGTGTGAATGCAAAATAGAAACTGAAGAGTTCTATTCATTTCTGAAGAATTGCACTGAAAAATTACTAGAGAATGAACAATACATTTATAACATTCCCCTTCTACAGTCAATGAAGAACAATGTTTAAGAGCTAAATATACACATTTAAATATTTAGTTGGCTTATTAAATGGATCCTACTATGGTTCCACTTTAGAGTCACCTTAGCTTTATTTTGGTTGATAGAACCATTGATAACAGTGAAAAAAATTGCCATGTAAAAAGCAAAGGGCAAGACAATGTTCTGACATATTATGCAGAGCAGTAAACATGGTCATTATAAATGACAATTCTCTGTTGACCTTGTTATAGCTAGCATTATTCTTACCTGACTTTTTGGCAGTCTAAGAGCACAGACGATTGGCTATAACATAAATATTTGCATTTCAGAAATACTGCAAATATTTTTATTCTGGTTGACTGACCCCATTTAACATTGATATTTATATGGAAATTTTAATCATTCCTGATGAATTTTGTGAATAACGGAAGAGGCGTGTGTGTGTGTATACCTTGAATTGATTATCAACATATAACAAAAGCAATATTTGGAAATCACACTGAACTATGGTTCAGTGAAATATGAACAAGCATAGACCTGTGAACTCACATACTCCCTTCCCTAATTGTCTTGTTTCACAATTTTGACAGCTTCCAGGTGAGTGAACTTCAACTCTCAGAATTCTCATTAATAGCCATACTACTATGCAATTCTGGGATCTGAAATCTATAGACCTGAAAATTGCCAAGATTGAGAAACTGAGTTCCATATGGTTGAAAGAAATGCAAAAGCTTTCATTTCTGTTTCCAGAAGATCAAGGCAGAATACAGAGTACTCGCTCCTTGCTTTTTTTTTCCCCAGTGACTATCCCCAATGATTGGATGAGCAGAAAATAAAATTACCACTCAGTGAGCATCCATGCCTGAATATAGGAATGAACTTGAGTTTCTCTAGATCTGGACCAGTACTTACAAAGACATCACATTAGTAGACAAACTATGATTGACATTATGATCTGGTTAATTTTGAACCAGTTTTATACCACCTCCCTTCTGAATAGGTTGGGATGAGAACTCCCAAAATCTTGCAGTTATCATGGCCAATAGCTAGAGACATCTATTTAAAGATAGTGTTTGAAAACAAATATTCTAAATCCTGATTGCTGAAGTTGGCTTGTATTGATTAAACTTAATTATTAATGTTAATCATAGTTCTGTGTCCAATCTCAGGACAAGCTCAATATAACCAAAGCTTTTGCATGAGGAAAGACCCACCCGCTCACTCTGCGAAATATAACCTTTTCAGTTTTGTTAGGGATACTTGTGCTCCATTCAAGGAAAACTTTTCAAAGTTGGGCTATTCAGTGTATGGTACACAAGTATATGCACACATAATGTTGTAGAAAATGTAATTTCATATTTTTGGATTTCTTTTCTTTTTATTTTGAGGAATGCCTGATTCCACTGAAAAGAACTGTATATTTCATGGGATAATTTATCATAGAGTAATTTATCATAGAGCAATAGATTATTTAATAATTTGAGGAACTCAAACAGCTTTTGAGGATATACATTCTCAGAGGGACAACCTTTGATGCTTTTGAAGAAAAAATCAATTCTTAAAACAATTTTTGGAATAAATTGGGGCATGTCTATTTCATTTCTATGAAACATAATGCTGTTCCAGGGTAAATAAAAATGGATTGGTTTCATAGATGCCTAATCATTTTTTGAATCCACATTAAGCATTCCTAGACTTGGGTTCATCTTTAACATATACAGTTTTGTGTACATGAGTTCAAACTATGTGTGAGAAATCCTTCGCAAAAATATATGTAAAGTTCCCCAAGTAGCTGCATATTCCTCAGCATTAAAATGGTTAGGTCTCTAAAGGTAGAACCATCTCTCTCCAGTTTTCAATTTGTTTGTGCTTTTCTCTTGTGCAGGGTCAGGTCTGTGGCCTTTGCGGAAACTATGATGGCAATGACATCAACGATTTCACCACCAGGAGCCAGTCTGTAGTAGGAGATGTCCTGGAGTTTGGTAACAGCTGGAAAGTTTCTCCCACTTGTCCAGATGTCCCAAACAGCAGGGATCCTTGTTCTGTAAATCCCTATAGGAGTTCCTGGGCACAGAGGCAATGTAGCATCATTAACAGCAAGACATTTGCTCTCTGCCATCCTCAGGTAGGAACAGATCCATTTCAGAAGACTATAGAGGACATTTGAACACACTTTATCCAACACAGGTAATCCTTGACTTACAAGGGTTTGTTTAGTGACCAAAGTTATAACATCACTGAAAATAAGTGACTTATGACCATTTTCATGCTTACAACCACTAGAGCATCCCCATAGTCATATCATCAATAGTCGGACACTTGGCAACTGACATGTATTTTCGACAGTTGCTGTGTCCCAAGATCATGTGATCATTTGTAATCTTCCCAACTTGCTTCTGACAAGCAAAGTCGATGGGAGAAGCCAGAATCCCTTTAATGACTGCAGTGATTCACGTAACAACTATGGGAAGAAAGATCGTAAAAGGAGGCAAAAGTCACTTAACAACCACCTTGTTTAGCAACAGAACTGTTGGGCTCAGTTGGGCTCATAAGTCAAGGTCTACCTGTATATTAATAATATGTATGCATGTAATTGCTTAGATGAAGATATAATAGCCGCAACCCAAGCAACTGTAAGGAGATGCTATCATTCTGGCTTTCCAAGATTACAAAAATAAATAAAACATTATTCCAGCATTTTGTAATTCCCAGACAAGGATTCCTTTGTAACTGGAGTCCTTTTTCTACCAACTCTGTACTCTCAGGCTCTGCTTATTCTTTGGCAAACCTGACATGGTAGCAGGAGGGGGCATTAAATATGGTTGCTAATAGATCTTGGTAGTATAATATGAAGTGGATATTGTACATATTGCTTTCAGAAACTTTTAGCAGTGCTTAAGCTATCCACAAGTATATCTACATTCCTTTTTAATTAATCCTAAGTGACATCTCCCCAAAGCATTTGGGAACATTAATAACTGAAACACATTTCTGGGTGCTCTCTAATATGAAGCATTAATGGTGGATCTAATCAATACATAATCTTGCTCTAAACCTAGGCTAAATCCCTGAATATTTTTTTCATAACCTAACCTTTAATCATTTTACGTCTAAGTAGCATTACATTGCATTACTGGTGGGCTATTAAAAATATTATCTCCATTTTTGCAATGTGTACATTGCCTTGGTCATTGCAACCATTTGAATCAATAATTAAGTCAATAATTTCTACAGGAGGAAATCAGAAACAGATCCCACTATGGTTCAGCTTTGTATCCTTGATAGTAACGTGTCCAATAATTGTTGCTTGTGAACTGTTCCTTAATAGATTTATAGAATACCTTTTTGTTTCATTGCAAATTGCATCCTGATCTATTGCTAATGGCAGATGATTCATAATTGTTCCATGTCTACTAGTTGCATCCCAAAACTACTGCTTTCATAACTACAACAAATTGCTGTGTCCATGCAGTTGGGCATAATTCAACAAATAGTACTGTACAAATGAAAGAATACCAATCAATACTGTCAGTTTTCCAGAAGGATTTGGTTGGAAACATAAGAATGGCAACTGGGAGAAAATATCTCCCCACCCTTTACCAAACTCACTAACCCAAACTAAGGCACACACTGAATTATGTTCATTATTTTCCTACCAGGTTGAACCAACTAAATATTACGAAGCGTGTGTATCTGATGCCTGTGCTTGTGATACTGGAGGAGACTGTGAATGCTTCTGTACAGCTGTGGCTGCATATGCACAGGCATGTCAGGAGGCTGGTGCATGCATCTCTTGGAGAACTCCATCCATCTGTCGTGAGTACATTTCCCAGGAAGGTTGAAGGTGGAAATAAGGAGTAGAGCGTAGTTATAATTTGTTCATTTCTCAGGACCACACCGAACAGGATTTTTAATACTACAAAACCATCACCATTGGACTTAGGTTGAGTCCTCTGAATGCATGCAAATACTGTAATGTATTACCTTTCAGGGCTGATGGTTACATTTAGTATTTCACATCTTTACTGCAAACTTGTATCTCCATCTCAGCCCAACCCAGAAAGACAGAAATGCAGTATTTCTGTGAATATCACTGGCAATGTATTCATACTCAGGTTTTACTTGCACATGTGATTTTGTGGAAGGAGTATCTGAGTCCCTAAATATTTCAAATTACTTTAAGTTAAGTTGAGATTTATTGAACCATGGTGCTACTACATGGCTAGAATGGCTATGATCAGATGTGTCCTTAAACTAAGAAAGCCTTGCTAGATTGGTAGGGAAGATACACCTATGTCATATGACTACGGTGAGATGAGAAGAGTAAATGCAAGAGAACATTTTGAAACAGAATAATAATTCTTGAACAAGTTGTAATTGTTCCAGTGTATAATGGAGTAGAATTTCCCCTGCCCCCACTATTAGATTCAAAGAATATTCAGTCCAAAGTCCTGTTTGCTATCCATGGGACAATGAGTTTGGTGAAAACTCTGACATCTCGTGAGACTTAAGGATTACCAAAAGATTTAAGCCATTTTTAGCTTACAAATTGCATGAATGTATATCAGATTCTGTGGATGCCATTCAGCACTATATTGCTGACTACCCATCTCCCAGAAGTAACTGCCGCTGTTTTTAGTTGGAGTTCCTCCAAAAACAAGCCCATGTGGAACAACAGGAGATGTCCTCTCATAGTATTAGGTTCAAGGGCACTTATTCTAAGATAGCAATCTTTATTTTATGATGTTATCAAGTAAGAAAATGTAATACCATTCATCATATTAAAGAATATCATAAGGAATATCTCTTGTAAAACAAACACATTTCTCTTGATCTCTTTGTTTCTTTCCAGCTTTATTCTGTGATTACTACAATAAACAAGGAGAGTGTGAATGGCATTATCAACCTTGTGGTTCTTCTTGCATGAAGACCTGTAGGAATCCACATAATTGTTCACTTGAATTATATGACTTGGAAGGTACAGTATTTACGCATCTTATCTTTGATTTGCAACAATGAAAAAAAGCTGAAAACTGCATTAATTGTTGTAATTACTATAGTGGGAACTATTCAAGACTTGTTTAAGAAGTGAGGATATAATTTTTCCAGTAACTGTTTATACACAGAGTGTTAAATGTATGAAAAATTGATTTGCTCAATTGTGAATTATTCAAGTTTAGTACTTTTAGATGCATGCAGTTTTGCACCTGCTAACAAATGAAAGATAATACTTGGTTTGAACTTAAAAAGTTATTTCTCCCCCCCCCAAAAAAAACCCCACTCTTACCTGATCTGTCTGCATAACGTTTATTTTTTTAAGCCTAATTTTGAAAAATGTTTGGAACTGTTTGCTCTTCTATCAAGCTTTGAAGATTAGATTTTGTTAAAATTCCTCACACATCTCTATTTTATTGCCTACTTTGCTCGTTTTGTCTAGTGAAGAGCTTACATTAAGTTCTGTTTCTTATTGTAGGGTGCTATCCAAACTGTCCAGCCGATAAACCCTACTTTAATGAAGATGAGATGGATTGTGTCTCCCTTGATAAGTGTGGCTGCTTTGATGACAAAGTAAACTATTATAAACCAGGAGAAAAAATGCCTTCAGAAAAGAGCTGTCAGTCATGGTAAGACTTATGCTTAAAGTGTTAGGATTATGAAGTTTGTTTGTTTGTTTGTTTATTCATCAAATTTATACAGCCACCCATCTCACCGAAGGTGACTCTGGGTGATGCACAACAATGGATAAAGCAAGAAGTGTAAACTAGCAAGTACAAATATAAAAAAAAACCATTGTAATAAATATTCTAAACCCCCAAAATACAACCATAAGTAAAGGGAAGATTTAAAAAAAATGGCTTCCTTATCAGTAGAGCCATCTAGACAAATCTCCTGTCTGGTCACATGATCAAGTCCTAAGGGTCTCTGAGAATATCAAAAGGGTAAGGCCAGTCCAATTTGGGAGGGGAAAAATACTCATTAATCAATTGCCACAGTGGAGAAGGCACAGTAGAGACGGCATCAAGTGTAGATCTCTAGCTGATGGTATCTGCAGTATCCCTTCTCTGCAAGATCTGATGGGGTGGGCTAATGTAAGTGGAGAGAGGCGGTCCTTCAGATAGCCCATCCCATGCCACAAAGGGCTTTAAAGGTTAAAAGCAGCATCTTGAATTGGAACTGGGAGCAAACTGGCAACCAGCGCAGCTCACAGAACAGAGATGCAATGGGTATTATTTTGACAGTACATATAACTGCTCACACCACTGTATTCTGTACCAATTGAAGCTTCCAGATAACTTAAAGATCTGACAGAGGCCTTACATAAAATAGCATTATGATTCATAAAACAGGAGCAAGAATTAGCAGGCAACATTGTGAAATACTCTTCTGAGGATCAAGTTCTTGAAAAAATGCCATATTGTTAATGCACTCTGCTATGTATTCATCTCATCCTCATTTGAGCTTGCTCAAATCATTTCAAATTGACATTTATTCTTTTTTTGATACTCAGCTATTTTGTTCCAGTTAGGCCACAGGATCTCCTTCCCCATTCTCTACCAGCAATCTTGTGAGGAGACACATTTTCTGAAATAATTAATAAAACTTATTTTTATTAAAGGGAAATATTTTATTTAAGGGAAAAATATTTATAAATAAATAATTTTATTATTTCCTTAATTTTATTTCAGGGGGAAAAAGGAATTCCCCAAAGAAAATGGTCAATCTGTTTATAAATTCTGAATTTGCCAGGAAGCTTTTTTTTTTTCAGAAATTTTGTCAGGACATTTCCATACAATGAATTGGATCTGCTTGTAATAATGTGTTGGTTTCTGCATGATTCTATTCTAATTGTACATAAGTACATTTGCTTGTTGTGCTTTTCAAAATGGTGAACAGCCTTTTAGCCTGTGCTCATTTGTTTCCTTGCAGTTATTGTTCAATGGACAGTGAAGAGGACTGCAGATATGATGAAAATGGTAAGCAGACTGTGTTGATTTGATGTGGGTTGTGATTATTTGCATCAGCCATTGTGAGAATTGAAGCAACCTTAACAACCAATTGATTATTATTATTTTTTTGAATGACAGAATGCTACTGTATCTATGAAGGAAAGATAAGCAAACCTGGCGAGATCATCTACAATACAACCGATGGCATTGGAGGGTGCATCACAGCAATTTGCAGTCAAAATGGCACAATTGAGAGGAACATCTTTCCATGTCCCACAACCCCTACCAGTATACCCACTGCTACTGTCTTTGTATTTACTAACACCACTTCACCAGCAAGTACTACTTCAGGTACAAATTCTAACAGATTATCTTTTTCCTTAATAAATGAAATGAAACAAAATTAATGTTGGCCCTATTAGTATAGAAATTTTAATACATTTTAGTGTGTGTACAATATGTTAATGTCCATAACGTGGAAACTCATGATGTCTGTGATAAAAAGATTCAGAAAAATGAGATATTTTCATTTTTAAAACAAATTGATTCATTTAATCTACTTTAGTTGCAAAAACAGTTTGATGAGAATGCTGAGAATTCCTTAAAAAGTTCCTGTTAGAGATTTAAGTGGAGACATAGGGGGAAAAAACCGTTATCATATATGAGCCCCTGAAGTTAGAAATAAAAATATTCAAAATATGCATAAACTTGTAAAATGGACTTTTCAGCATGCTATAGATATGAGGTGGAGGAGACTCTATAAACAGCTTACCAGTTTTGCTACTGAGAAAGGTTGTTTTATGGAGAAGAGAGTTTAGGTTGGACATTTAATTAGGTACCCCACATTTCCACATTACAGCAACATAGAAGAATATCATAGAAAATAAACCATTTGTCCTATTGCCATGGTATCATATGAAACATTTTAACTACTAGGACTTCTGAATCATGTCCATTTTGTCTGAGACTAAGTTGAGATGACTTATTCTGCTGCTGCTGAAGCAATGCAATCCCACTCATGTTTTAAAATAAATGTTTTAATATTTACTTTTAGATATTAAAATAAAGCTTTAATTGCTCGCTGTGTATATTCTATTCAACATATTAAATATGTAAAAGTGCTTCTGCTTAGCAAGTGCTGAGGGTAATGTGAAATCAAAAATACCAAGTAAGTTATCACAAAATCAAGGAATGACTCAGAAAAAAATGGCACTCTCACTTATTTGTTCTCAGGCACCATGCTGAAAATTATTGCTCCTCATTGCTATTAGCAGCAGGAAAGCAATGAGCTTGAGTAGAATGTCCTGGGAAGGGAGCCGATTAGACTTCCTGTAACTGTTTGCCATCACAACAACCTTGCTGAAGATCACTGTTTCCTCATGGTTTTGTGAGAGCCTAAAAGGATTTTTTTCCCAAAGCTACTGAGAGGAAAAAGGAGGAAACTCTATGTGTAACCACTGACCCTATTGCCACACATGGTCTCTGGCCTCAAAAAACTGTTCTAAGACACATTTGTTTCAGGTTATCATTTAAACGCTCACAATTATTAGAAAATATTCATTGGAACTGGATGAAGCATATTAATTTATCTTTCTAATATCTTTGCAGTGCCCATGACTACCTCTGTCTGTGTTCAGGAAGTGTGCCATTGGTCAGCGTGGTATGATGGGATGCAGCCTGGCTTAGGAAACAACGATGGAGATTTTGAAACTTTTGACAATCTAACAGCCAAAGGCTACCAAGTCTGCAAAAATCCAAAAGCTGTTGAATGTAGAGCAGAGAAATTCCCCAATACTCCATTAATTACACTGAACCAGAAGGTAGAATGCAGCAGAACAGTTGGATTAATTTGTCATAATATAGACCAGTATCCAGAAATCTGCCACAATTATCAAATCAAAATTCTATGCTGCAGCTTTGTACCATGTGGCAATTATACTACAGCTCCCACACCTGAAAGCACCACGGTCTCTCCAGTTCAAACAACTACAGTACCAGCTACTATTTTGACAAGTACCACTGCTTTCACAAGTACAATGAAAGTAACAACAACCCCAGAAACCACTTTTTTACCTACTAGCACTACAGTCCCATCTACCATAGAGCCTGGATCTCCAACAACAGAAATAATGAGAAAAACAACTTGCACACCTATCTGCAAATGGACAGAATGGTATGATGTGCATTTTCCTACACTGGATAATGAAGGAGATTTTGAAACATATGAGATTATCAGAGCCACAGGAAAAGATATCTGTGAAAACCCAGAACATATAGAATGCAGAGCAGAGAAATTCCCTAATAAAACTATTGATGAAGTTGGCCAAAATGTCCAGTGCAACATATCATTTGGATTTGTTTGCAGAAATAAAGATCAGCTGGGAATGCTGCAAATATGTTTTAACTATCAAATTAAAGTGTATTGCTGCAACAGTGAATGCTTGACCACTCCTACAGAAACTTCAACCAGGGTCACAACACCTCAAACAACTTCTACTATCATTACTACAACTTTAGGAACAACAAATCCAAATATCACAACACCACAAATTACATCTACCTCAGTTCCAGAGACAACTACAATTACGTTACATCCTGCCACGACTAAATACACAACCATACTTTCTACTACAAAACCTTCAATGACAACTACCACTATGCAACCAAGTTCCACTGCAGCTCCTCTAACTACAACATTTTTTCCAACAAAAGGTACACTGTCAACCACATTTGAACCAACCACAGTAACAACGACAATACCTCTTCCAACTACGACGCAGACACAAATACCAACAACAATTTTAACAACAGGTATACCTTGTACTGAGGAAAAATGTGAATGGTCCCAGTGGTATGATGTATATTACCCAGGCAATGGACCTGATGATGGGGATTTTGAAACTTTTAAAAATATAAGAGACAAAGGACATGAACTTTGTAAAGCACCAAAAAAAGTTGAATGTGAAGCATTAAAGTATCCGAATGCAACACTTGAAGAACTGAAACAAAAAGTTACATGTGATACAAAAATAGGACTCATATGTTATAATAAAGACCAAATATCACAAATTTGCTATAATTACAAGATCAGAATTCAATGCTGCAAAATTATATTTGTACCATGCCCAACAACACCAATCCCCAAAATAACTACTACATCACTGAAAACAACAAAAATACCTACATCAGAATTAACCACAACACAAATAGTAAATAAGACAACGGAAAAACAAATTTTTACACAATACCACACAACAAAGCTGCCATCTACAGCACCTCAGATAGTGGAAACAACATCCATTCCAACAACTTCTACCTCAACCCTTCCAGTTTCAACTACAACACCAATTAAAACCACGACAC